TAATGTAGAATATTGATTGAATTTTTTCTTGTTATAAAACACTACTGTTTTTATTTATTTATTTTATGGTAATTATTTAGTTGTTACTTTAAGATATATTTTCACATGTAAGTGTTGCATATATATTCACCTCGCCTGGATTCAATTCCTCCTAGATGGGTCCTTTTTGCACATGGGTTGCTTCTCTTCCTATATCAAGTCTGCTTAAATTTCCCACAAGCAGTGTTATCATATGCGTCTGTCCTGCTATGTGCTTGCAGATTATGTTCATACTTGCTTGTCTTGGATGGCTTGATGAATTATATCTTTTGCGTTTCATTAGTGTTATCTCATTTATTTCCTTGTGCCCTTTTTTCTTTTAAAAAAATTTCCTTCTCCTCAATGTGATGGTATGACACCTATAATGATTGCTCTTTCGTCTTTTGCTGTCATTTGTACTTGGTGCAGACAGAAATTGTACAGTTCTACACGATTAATTGTAATGTGCTAAGTATCCTTGAAGGTTTTAACTTAGGAAGGAAAATACCATTCTTATTGTCTTTAGTAGAAACTAGCAATTCAATAGCATAAGGCATGAACGTTATGTGATTTACTTTCATACAATGGAGTTTAAACAAAAGTTCTGTTATTTTATTTTTATTTTTATGTTTTTGATGCATGGATCTAAGTATCTTTTCAATAATATGAAAAAGGTTGTCCTCTCTCTCGCTGATATTGTTTATACTTTTGCAATGTGCAGCAAATGATTGTAGTTGCTGGAGAAACTTATTCCCAGCAAATGATTGTAAAAAATTCGCATCTCTGAGAGTGAAACTTACATGAGAGTGGAATTTATACATGTTTCTTAGTTTTAATACTTTTGCAATGTGCAGCAAATGATTGTAGTTTGTGGAGAAACTTTTTCCCAGCCCATACACAGGGATGGTAATTGGCAAGTTGACCAAATTTCAGGGTAATTTCACTAGACATCAAAAGTTTGATCTGCAGTCATTGAAGCCATGCAATCTTGCTGCTTAGGGCTACTTTTTTGTAAATGGAACTTATATATGGCTCTTAGTTTTATTAGTTTTGTGATGTGGGACTAGTGATTTCAGTCATAGGACAAACTTAGATATGGTAAATGGCTTCAGCTTGGGTATAGAGTTTTCATTTTGTAATGTGGTAAACATATTTCTGCAATTTTTGATCCCACACCGCACCAGGGACAGAAAATAGAGGGCTGAGCCTTATATGAAAGGAAGTAACATCCTTTGCTTCTCAAGCATCTCATGCTTAGTGAGTTACACGTGCTAGAGGCAACATTCAGGTGAAATATTGTGCGTTGGTCACGGACTATGGGAATATTTAGAAGTTCTGCTAAATGCCAATCGGGCCCTGCTTTTCTTCATCTATTTTATTAGCCCTGACCTGCTTCGCGCTATTTCAAATTCTGATTTCTAAATAGATTTGAAAATTTTAAATTTGATATGATTAGATTTTAAATTTTAAATTTTAAATTTACTTCTTTTCTGTGACTGTTGTGTTGGATTTTCTTTCCATTAGTTGGTCTTTGGATGGGGAGTTTACTCCCTTTCAAAAATTTCTATTTTGACCTTCAAACCACTGCCAGACTTTTGATGCTGTTGATGGGAAGCAAGCAGGACGGACGAGTTCCTCTAGTCCACTGGGGGAGCTTTTTCTTTTATATATAATGTAGAATATTGATTGAATTTTTTCTTGTTATAAAACACTACTGCAGGATGTGATGCACTTGCCTGTGCGGTATGTACTTCTGTTATTGTCTTTGGTTGGCCATAGCAAGTGTATCTCTTTCATATTTTGTTGATGATGTTTATCAATTTGCATCCTTGGCCTTTGGGAGTATCATTATGTCTGGAGGGACTACTTTCTGGTTCTGGGTGATAACAGTTATTCTGTTTTATTTGGCAACATGGGAGCAGTAAGCAGTCCAACTAATACTGGTTTATTACATTTTGCCTTGTTACGAACACTTGATTGTTCATTCTTGCACACCTCTTCTTTTTTCTGTTCTTTTCTTTGTTTTTTGGATGGTGGATGCTTCAGTTATCATAATATTTCCACTTTTATTGTGGGCCAATAAAGTTGTTTTGCTATGCCATTTCAATTTCTAAAGGAATTTCATAGGGGATGGACTTTATATAATTAACTTGCTTGCAACATGATTAAGGCCATGAAGGGGCTATACTTGATTTGGCACAACATTTAAATTTGAATTCCTTGAATGGGAGCCATTTAAATATTTAATGGTTAAAAATTTGCTTTGTGGCACTGATGCTTTTGATGCAGTTTATTTTTAGTTCATTAATTGATATCTGTGAAGCCTCTAGTTAGAATTAAGAGGAGCAAATAAACTATCTTCTAAAATCACAAATCAGAGTAGTGGGATTCATGTAAACAATAACACTCTGAACGTACTCTATTGAAAATGCCAGACTTTTGACATTTTGTACCTGAATTTAAGAATTGTGCAATAAAATGCCATTCCTGTTTGCTTCTTTTACTTTATTTTTATACTGCTTTCCTGTGCTGTACTAGTTGCCTTTCTAAATTGGTACCATGGTGGTGGTCAACGTGAGTGATTTTGATGTACATTCTTACTGACCTATGCAGAATGTACATCATTGTCGAGCATTCCTCGTGGTAAATGGTATTGTAAATATTGCCAGAACATGTTCCAAAGGGAGAAGTTTGTGGAGCATAATGCTAATGCTGTAGCAGCTGGAAGAGTTTTAGGAGTTGATCTTATTGAACAGATAACCAAGCGCTGCATTCGAATTGTCAAAAATCCAGAAGATGCTAAGGTCATTGCATGTGTTTTGTGCAGGTACTGGTTACGCTATTCAAGATTAATTGTTGATCCTTAGATTTTCTTCATGATTTTTATTGCTATTCATTCTGAATCTGACATTGTGCTTATATTAAACTTTACCTTTAGTTAATATCATCCTTTATTTTTATTTTTTTTAATGTTCTTCATTTGTTGGTTTATCTAGAGGTTGATGTTTTTCAATCTGCTTTATGCAGAGGTTATCAGTTTGGAAAATCTGGATTTGGTCCACACACAGTAATAGTTTGTGATCAGGTACTCTCTGTTCTTTATGTTAGTTCCTTCTTTTTTTAATTTATTTATTTTTTCATCCAATTGGCGACCAAACTTTTTGGTCGTTGAATGTGATAATTGGCGACCAAATTTTTTGGTCGGGAAAATATCACTTTTCGCGACCAAAGTATTTTGGCGACAAAATAAATTAGTCGCGATAATTAAATATTTAGAGGCCAAAAATTTAGTCGCAAAATCCAACTTTTGCCGACCAACCACAATTCTGGTTGCGAATTACTTTTGCCGACCCTCAATTGGCGACCAAAGTAGCGACCAAAAAAATTGGTCGCGAATAACTTTTGCCGACCAAAAATTGACTTTTAGCGACCAATTTTTTTGTTGCCAAAAGTGGTCTCGGTTCCAACTCTTACCGACCTCCTTTCTATATAATTTTGTTTTTAAAATATGTTATAAAGACATTTTCAAAAATCAAAGATATTTTGTTTCAACCCCATGTAAAACCTTCACATATCTAATAGTATAAGGGAAATGCTATGGTACATACCCTCCATATGCACCCTATCATAAATGGTGTAATTTTATAACAAAATTTCATAACATCAACCATAAAATGCTTAACCTCGCCACAAATTAACGTAATAAAATGTTCAAAATTGTATGGTTCATGTTACAAAAGTTTGTAACTTTGCTACAACATTTTTTGTTATGCTAATTTGTGGCGATATTACACATTTTGTAATTAATGTTACAAAATTTTATAATAAAAATACGCTAATTTATAATAGGGTGCATATGGTAGGAGGGTGTGCCATAGGATTTTCCATATGTTTGAATATAAAAATAAGAGATTTGGATATTCATATTGGAGATATTTTTGATAATACGAATCATTCATATTATTTTGTTATATTTGTAAATCATTTATGAAACATAAACAAATCAACATGTCTTGATAATATTTGTCATTAAACAAAAACAAAACAAAACAACTAAAATAATTTTAAAAATAAAATGTTCAATATTTTAGACAAATCTAATAAAATCATGAGTTAGAATTATTTCATTAATTTAAGTTTTTAAATAAATAATTAATATACATTCATAAATAATATGACTGATTCATATTATTGAAATTATTGCGAGTCTCACAAGACTCAATAACACCTGGATTAATGGATTTGGAGAGAACCCAGTAATCAAAAAAAAAAAAAAGTATAATCACAACAATCTTGTAATTTATGTGAGAATTTTTTTTTTTAATTCATAAAATGGATATACAGATAGGCTAACATATCTATCAGAGAGTATTACCCCTTAGCACCTATAGTATATTTGCAGAGAACCCCACCACACATATGTCGAAATTTACTCTGCGCGGTGGGGCGTCGAAATGTTTGTTGACATTAAAATCACACCATTGATCCTCCTCTATTTCCTGTTTAGGAGATAAATAATGTTATATGCACTAATTAATATATTAATTAGTGTACTAATGGATGATATAACATAATTTTAAATTTTTTGAATATTTAATATACTAATTAGTGCGTGCAGCACCACCATTATAAGATTGGACAAGTAAAACAGTTTTTGTAAATAAATTTGTTTAGTTATGTTTTACTTTCTTTCTTTTTTAAAAAATAATAATAAAATTGTTTGATGAACTATTTTTGAAATTTTTTATGAAAAGAAACTAATTTTTTAAAATAATATCAATAAGAGTTATTTTTTGAATTTTTTTAAAAACAAGGTTTGCATGACAATGAAAACAATACGAGTATAATAAATATTTTTCAACTTTATCATTATTTGTATTTAAATAAAAAACAACAACAACCAACCAAGCCCTTAAGATCCTAAAAAATTACATCAATTCTCCCCACAAATCAAATCAAAATAATATATAAAACCCCAACTCTCGAACAAATAGACAGGTTTCCTATTCGCCAATCATCGAACTACACAACCATTCTTAAACCGAATAATGTTTACAAACACAACCAACAAACAAAGAATCCAAAAAGAAATCACAACACAGCGATACGAAACCATCTTTTGGAAAGAAGAAAAAAAAGGAAGATATAAACGCACCAACTTTTATACAAACTCACAAATTAAATTAAATTAAATTTCACATTCTCTAAGAGATGGAGAACCTTCTTCTCCTAGGCTTGGTAATATCCACAACATCTTCAATATTCGAAGTATCCTTAGATCCATGCTTGAATGGATTCAACTTCCCCAACGTCCTCGACACGGACGAAAAGAACGGCCTCCGATGACCGCCACCGCCCTTGCCTTTGGACGACGTGCCGCCTCCTTGATTATTCTGCAAGTCAGTTATGTGCATCTTCATCTTCAGTAGCTCAGTTCGCAACGCCTCGTTCTCTTTGACTAGTGACACATCAGTTTGTAATTGGTTCCTTATTGTTATAGCATTATCGGGTTGCATGTTGCGACGATTGTTGTTGTTGTCGCTGCCACTCCTTAATTTGAGTTGATCGTAGTACAGGGTGTGAAGTACTATTTGTAACGGTAATCGTTTGTTTTGCGAAGCGTGAACTCTCGCTTCGTACGAGAGTTTTAGTGGATCCATTACACTGCATACCTTCTCGCGCTCGATTTCATCTAGGTTTGGATGAGCCTGCAATAATACATACGTGTCCGCTGATATTAATCCAATCGTCACAAAAAAAATTAAAATTTGATGATATACAGTATCTAAAAATAAAAAATAAAAATGAGGCTAATTTGGATCACCTTCAAGTAGATATCGATCGCTCTGTAAAGATCATCATCGACCTTCCTGGCTGTCTTAGGCACGAGATTCGCAATTCCGTTGAATTTTGATATGCTCAGCTCGTCATACTGAGCGATCTCACCCAGATATGCATCAACGATCTTCGTAACACTTAACATCGCCGTCGAACACACTTCCCTAAAATTACCACCGTTGAACACCGCCACGTTCTTTTCCTTCTCCACAAACCCCGATATGATCCTCCTCACGCTCTCTAGATCAAACAGCCTCGCACCATCAAAAGTGAACGATAGCACCAGAAGATCCTCGACCGTCACGTGTTCCAGAATCGCCGAGATTCGCTTCTCGAGCTCTTTCTCGCAACCGTTGGAGGATCTGAGGAAGATCGCGGTTCGAAGGAGGCAGCAGAGGAAGTTAATCGGAAACACAGATTTCTCGGCCGGTAAGAGAGAGATGATCGATTCGAGAAGCTTTCTCTGCCGGATTCTGACGTCAGAGTTGTCGGAATCTAATGATTTCGTGCCGCTTCCGGAGTGGTCTCGGACGAGATCTCGAAGCGATCTCTCTGCGTAGGTGATTATCGCGCTCGCTATGGTTAGGCCTTTCGCGCCGCGTGATTTCATTCCTGAAATTATTTCCTCGAAGAAAGCTATATCTAAGATCGATAGCTCTTCTGTCCACCAATTTGGCGGCGATCGACTAGGAAAATTCGCCTCATAACACGCCTGTAAAAAAAAAAATTAAAATAAGTATGATTATGAGTGATAGAATTGCCATAGATAATTTTGACTGAGCCAGTGGTTCATCTTCGTTACCATACTCAATTAAGTGAAAATTTTACAACTTGGCCTAGATTCAAAAATCTTGGTATGCCGGCGTAATTCAAAGCACATCAACACCACGCCGAAAGTTTTGTTTTCCTTTTTAAAGGTAAATAATATGTGAAAAATGGAGGTTACGAAGATGAGTAAGTACCTTACTGGTTGCGACATCGACGCATCTCTTGACGATGTTGAGTTCTTCGGCCATTGGAAGAAGATCTTCGCACGACTTCAAGACAACGACAGCGCCGGAGAGGCTGGTGAGGGCGACTTGGGAGAGAAATTCTTCGGTTCGGCCGGCGAGGTTGCCGTCGGAGTATTTATCTGACATTTGCAGATACTCAGTGGCGCAACGAAGAGCTGCGACGTTGTGAACTGTGATCTCGAAGTTGACGCCGTAGCAGAACTTGGCCGCTTTCTCGAAGATCTCGGGGCCTCCAGGGATGTCCGAGAGATCGATTCTTGCCAAATCAGGTTCTTTCGATTCTAGTATTAATTTTCTTATGTAGTTACTCTTAGCAACAAGCATGAACTGTCACACCACAAATGAAATTGGAATTAACGCAAATGAACACGGAGATTAGAAATTTAACTAGAATCTGAACACTTTTCATACCTTGTGAAGATTAAAACTGGCCTCACCAACTTCGACCACAACATCAGTTGGAATATCTTGAGAGAATACCCTGCAAATTGAAGATTGATTAGCAGGGAAATTTTTTTTTAAAGAACTAAGGAGATTGAAGATAATGGGCTGAATAATCTTTTGTGTGCATTACCATTGGCCAGTCCTTTCCATGGCAAGAGAGATCCCGTTGTTTTTTGTAGAGACGGCCATGGTCCTCTGGCTTTGGGTTCAGAACATATTGATGTGTTTTGGGATTTATAGGAGATTGAGGTTTTAATTTATCTTTATTTTGTTTTTGTCCTTTTTTTTTTTATTTATCTACTGTATAAACTGTCTTTTCGCTTTTAGAATATAACGGCATATTATCTTTATCCGTGTAACCACGTTGCATGTTGATTTTTTCCAAGTCGTTGCATGTTGATTTTTTCCAAGTCTTTTAACCATTTACTTACTTTTTGATGTAGTTTTCAATGCATATGCTTCTATTGTCAATTATAACCCGGCTTCACGTGTGGCATATGATATGAGGCAGCTTATCTTTGAGCTAGCTATAGCTCAAGCTCTATCACCTTTTATTTTGTTTTGTTTTCTTCTTTTTGTTTTTTTCTTCATTTTCTTTTGGTCGTGAATGTGAAGCAAAGCAATGAGGTGCTTCAAATATTGATTCAATCAACATAATACTGTAAAGCTAATCTTAACATGAAATGTGAAGAGTTAATATGATTTTTTTAAATTTTGTTTTAAAAAATTACTGTTAGAGAAGAAAGTCAAAAAAAAAAAATGATTGACCCAAAAAAAAACAAAACAATTGTAAGAGGGGCTAATTTGAGCCCACTAAATTATTTAGGCCCAATAGCCCAAGATTAGTGGGCCCGAATTTATCGCAAGTCCAAGAATCGGTGGGCCCAGATTTATCGCCATCAAACGGATTGAATCGCTCTAAGCCTCGAAAGGGTTCGGATCCACGAACCTAGAGACTTACTCGGGCCCGGACTCGAAAGGGTATTAAGCAAGCCTAGAGATCCGAGGCACTCGGACTCGAAAGGATTCGGACCCACGAATCTAGAGATCCGAAGTACTTGGCTTCGAACGGATTCAGACGCAATCTAGAATTTTTACTTTTTTAATATATTAATACTATTAATAGTGATATTTTTAGTGAGATGAATAATTGTTGTTATCTTTATCCGTGTAACCACGTTGAATGTTGATTTTTTCCACGTCGTTGCATGTTGATTTTTTCCAAGTCTTTTAACCATTTACTTACTTTTTGATGTATTTTTCAATGCATATGCTTCTATTGTCCATTATAACCCGGCTTCACGTGTGGCATATGATATGAGGCAGCTTATCTTTGAGCTAGCTATAGCTCAAGCTCTACGACCTTTTTATTTTATATTGTTTTGTTTTGTTTTCTTCTTTTTATTTTTTTCATCTTCTTTTGGTTGTGAATGTGAAGCAATGAGGTGTTTCAAATATTGGTTCAATCAACATAATACTGTAAAGCTAATCTTAACATGAAATGTGAAGAGTTAATATGATTTTTTTAAATTTTGCTTTAAAAAATTACTGTCAGAGAAGAAAGTCAATAAGAAATGATTGACCTGAAAAAAAGACAAAACAACAAAAATACCAAGAACCCAAGAGATGAGAAAGTATATTTTACTCAATTCAAAAAAAAGGTTTTATCCATTTATAATATTTTCTTCATCTTACTTCTATTATAATTTGAAGAATATTTCACCAAATTATATATATTTTACTTCTCACTAATTTATGGAGTACCTTTTCTTATAAAAGAAGCCTCAAGTAAATGCACATGCTTTATATAATATATATTTAAATATTTAAATCGTATAAACTTAAATACTAGTGCTACATTTTTATAATTTTTTTAATTGTTTTAATGAAGTGATAAGATAAAATATTGAAAAATATTTAAATGAAAATCAACATTTTTAATTTTACTTATCACGGGAAGAGATTGTGTTGAGGAAAATTATGTGGAGAAATTATTTTTTAAAAATGAAAATGATGCAAGTGAAATTCGAATGTCCTCTAGCCAGTCGAGAGACATCCAAGAAGCCGGCTGAAAAAGGAGAGAGAGGGGGTAAAAACACAGTCAATAGGAAAGGAATCCCAACTTCCAAGTCCCATCCATTGAATCAAATTTTCGTCAAATATGAGTGAAGAGGGGGTTGGATTTAGGTCAGTTAGAAGAGTCTCAATTCTCAAAGTCATGTCTCAGCCACGCAAAACAAGTGGTCTGTGCTTATAGGAACCAAAAAGATCTTGGTTGCCTTAGCGCCACGTCATTCGCCGCCAACTTTTACACTCCTCGCCAGCCCCACTTCACACCTTTGGCATGTTTTAATATAGTGGGCCACCGCACCGCGTTATCGGAATAAGCAGTACTGCACTAATAGAATACTTACACGTGGAATTTTCATTCTCTTCGTCCAGTCCCGTGAGAGGAACAGACATCCAAACTAAATTTATGTCAAATTAATTTTAGAGTTATATTAGAAATTTTAAATAACCTATTAAATTTTTAATTAAACTTTTCATATAAACGGGGGATTTAAATTTGTGAGTTTCACACTTATTTAAAAAAATTTGATAAAAAATTTCATTAAATATTTAAAATTCATAATATTTTTCTTAATTTTTTATTATATGTCTCCAAATGCAAGCATGCATGCATGGAAGGCATAAAAAATAAGGATCAGGGAAATGAAATGGTAATACAAATGTAAAATTATTAGCGTTTAGTTTATAAATATTAATAATTAAAATTTTAAATATTTTTTAAAAATTTTATTGAACTGTAATTCCCCTAATAGGGTGTTTGGCAAAGGCTATTTTTTGATTTTTTAAGTTAAAATTCACAAATAGGTAAAATAGGCTATAATAGTCAATAAGATAGAATGTCATATTAAACTCATAATTATTTCACTTTTCCTCTCACAAACATTATATCCAACTATAAAAAAATCTAACTATCTTCCCAAACACAAAAATTTTAACCTACTAAAATAGTCAAAAACTAAAATAGCCTACTAAAATAGCGATTTTCCAAACACTCACATTATATATATATTTAAAGTTTGTATCTTAGTAAAAATATTTGTACATATAAGTGTATTATTGATGAAAATATTTAGGATTGGTTTGACATGTTTGAAGAAAGTCAAAAAGTCAAAAAAATATTTAAAAAGTTAAAAAGTTATTATTACTCACAAAAAAAATATATATATATATATAAAACAAATTTCCTGAAAAAAAGTACAAGCCAACTTTTTTGGCTGAAGTAATGTTTTGGTCTGAAGTGATGGTACGAACTCGTCAAGGGGGTGCACACAAAATTTACATAGGACGGTGTTGTTCGGTCTGTGGGGACCCATCACGGGTCCCGTTTTGATAATCTGAACCGTTCAATGTATAGAACTCATTGAGTACTATATACTTATGAAAATCACGTTGATCGGATATCGACAACTATATGATCTATTCAATTTTGTATAAAAAGTTGGACAGTACACAAAGTAACAATTGACAAAAAACTAATCTTATCAGATAGCTATCGATATCCGATCAACGTAATTTTTTAAAAATATACAGTACTCGACAAGTTTTACGTATTCAACGATTTTGATATTAAAATGGGACACGTGGTGGGCCCCCATGGGCCGAACAACACTGTCCAGTCCGAACAGCACCATAGGCAATCTAGTCCTATACATCTTGCTACCAACTGTATGCATGACGGTACCATCACTGTCAGTAGGCAATTATATATATAGGGGTAATATGGTAATTTTGCTATTTTATATAATATTTTAATACAATTTTTCCGTAAAAAGTCAAAAAAGTATCCTAAACAACCATTTTTTTCTCTATTTTTTAGTCCAAAAAGTTAAAAAAAATACACTTATTTAGAACACCCCAAACAACCCGTTAGAAACTCTCCAATCATGGCCCTAACCTCAGCTGTTTGTTTGTTTATTTTGGGAAATTGACCAGTAAATCCCATTTTGTCATCTTGTAGATCATGTGGTCCTATTTTTTTTTTTTTTCTTTTAAACCGTTTAGTCCTTAGGATTATTTGTTTACTATTTTGCCATTAAAATGTTAATTTCAGTTTGTAGACCCGTGTGTATTTATAGGAAGGGGTGTGTGAGATTCACGTTCCAAAAAAAAGGTAATAGTACTCTTTTTTGATGGTGTGGGTTACAGCTGCGTGATGTGGGATGTGAAATAGATGAAGTGAGTAGGGTTATGTCACGTTGGGGGGTGTGTTTTCATGTGACTCAACCCACCAACCCAGAAATCCAACTTACTTTTTGCATTCATATTTATAGATGGGCAATCATCTCCCATTTGGAAAGATGAATCAGTGGTGAAGGGCCTTACATTTTGTTACAATTATCCACTTTTGGTAACTTTGAAGATCGAAGGTGAGTACTTCGATTTGTTTAGGAAGATATTGATAAGCCGAGATTCACGTTCAAAAAAAAAGGTAATAGTACTCTTTTTTGATGGTGTGGGTTACAGATGCGTGATGTGGGATGTGAAATAGATGAAGTGAGTAGGGTTATGTCACGTTGGGGGGTGTGCTTTCATGTGACTCAACCCACCAACCCAGAAATCCAACTTACTTTTTGCATTCATATTTATAGATGGGCAATCATCTCCCATTTGGAAAGATGAATCAGTGGTGAAGGGCCTTACATTTTGTTACAATTATCCACTTTTGGTAACTTTGAAGATCGAAGGTGAGTACTTCGATTTGTTTAGGAAGATATTGATAAGCCGGTGATTCCCACTGGGTTTCTTCCGTCGGAAAAACCAAACAAAACCCGAATCGCCGCTGTATACGATGGCTCGAAGAGTAAGATCTTTGAATGACTGGATGAACAGAAACCCAAATCCTTGGTGTTCGTTGGATTCGGAAGTGAATGTAAACTCAACAGAGACCAGACTTACAAGATAGCCTCTGGGGTAGAGTCATCGAAATTGCCATTTTTATGGGCTTTGAGAAAACCCAGTTGGGCCTCCAACGATCTCGATGCTGTACTGCCGGAATTCAAACGCCGAACTTCTAGCAGAGGAAGAGTCTGTATCAGATAGGCATCGCAGATCGAGATTTTGGTTCACCCGTCAATCGGAGGCTTGTTGTTTCATGTTGTGTGGGGTTCGATGATTGAAACGTTGCAATTTCGGCATTGTACAGATTGAGGGAATATTTCATGATGTTGTTCATTGTT